GGGGGAAAAAGAAAACCCACTCGCCATTGCTTGCCATTGCTTGCCTGGCTTGCCTGGTTTGCGTGTTTGGGGTTTCCGGGAATGGTCCGTTCCACGGCCACGGGACCACGGGCCCCGGATAAAGGGATGACCTTGCTTGCGGAAACACTTTGGCCAGAGGAACAGCAATGACTTCAACCGATTCCCCCGAGATCATGCATGTCAGAATCGGGGTGAAATGGCACTGTCTGCGTTGAATCTCCACCCCCCCTCCCCCAGCCGAGAGCGGATGCATTCCATAGCCCAAGCCTTTGCAGAGATTGCAGCCGTCATTTGGATCCTTCCTTCCGGATCCCTTGGTTTGGTGAAGGCTAATTCTAGAAATGGCCCAAGAAAGGGGGCACCCGCTTTGAGGGTTCTACAGGAATTCTGGGACCAGGGCCCTTAAGTGGAATGGGCTTAAAGAGAAAAAAGCCAAGCGCAGTCGCACTGTCCATTCAAATCAGATCTCCCTTACGCCGCACCTGTATTGCCATGTGTTCTTGGAGGCCGCATCGTTTGGGAGCTGACATCTTTGCCCTTAGGGTGCGTTCTTTGATGGTACTTTTATTTGGTGGTTTTAAAGGACAACCAAAAGGAAACCACCATTGGTTTGTTAAAAAAAGAGACACCCCCCACTAAAATGATGAAGGAAACGACGTAAATCCGGGCTGAGCATTGAAAGACACCCCCAAAGGAATTTTATTCCCCACCACTGGATTGCCACCTCTTTCTTATTTACAATCCTCCCGTTCTTTTTGTTCCTGGACGCTTCTTGCGAAACAGGGCGTGGCAACCCTTGAGCCCAAGACCAGCAAACCTCTGCCCCTTTTCAAGTGCAATTCGATCTTTGGATGCGAAATCAAACAGTCCCCACCATCCCGACCTTCTGTCAAACGCCCAAACAAATCGGCCAGGAAAGAAAAGAAACATGACGGTGAAGGCGCGCACCGGGAGCCAGTTCCACTGTTGTTTTCCTTCTGCCGGGCAAAACGGGAGGGGGGGTGGTTCCCCCAGTTGCCCTAGTTTTTGGGCAGACTTCCGAGGGGGGGGGGGAAAGGGGGATGGCTGGGGGTGCAGGACGCCCCAAGATTGAGCGAGATTGAGTGGTTTGGGGGGGGGGGGGGCGGGGGGCGGGGGTGAGTCCCGAACCTGGGGCACTTAATCCCTAAGGAGGAAGTGTCCACAATGGGTGGCCCTGGATCATTCCTGTCTAATATTCAAGATGAAATTGGCTTAGCCCTGTATGCCGTAGCCTTTCAAAGTTAGATTCAATGTATTGAAATCACTTGTGTGAGGCAATCTGATTTGTTCGTCTAGCAGCTGAAAAGGGTATACAGCATGTAATGCATGTTGAAATCGAATCCGCACACACATGGTTGGAAAGTGAAAAGAGATACACAACCGTACCTAAAATATTGCAACTTATTTGACTGATGCCTTCGAAAGTCAAGGACAGGATTGTCCGATGTGAAACTATCGATTCTCTCCCTGCATGAAAATAGTCTTGTAGACGAGGATGTTGATATCGCAATAAGAATGGTCTTGTCAAGCGGCCAGAGTTGAACTCTTGGCACTGTACATTTCCGACAGAGCCAAACAGTGGGGCACATCATTCGGAGTATTCAGATACTTTGGCACCAGCGGTGACGAGCAAGATCCTGAATACAGCATTCTGACCCCAGAGTGCTCGGCAACCACGGGAGATTATATGTTCACAAAGGAATATCGCCGAGATCGCCTTAGTCAGCATGTAATGATGTTAATTTTGCGTCGAAGACAAAAGGAAGTTTGCCCCCGCGCACATCCATCAAGGCCTACGGGAAGAACAGGGAGATCATCACCATGAGTACCGAAAATTTCCAGCCCAAGGCCATGCGCTATCCCGTTGACCATTGCCATGTGGCGCGAGCAGGACTTCCATTTGCAACGATTGGAGTGTTCCACGTCCATCCAAGTCTGAGTCATAGATCCGTGGAAAAGGACTTCCAAGAACACATCCTGCTGCTTACAACAGAGTTCCAGCGCGATGCCATCGCTGGAGATGGTAACCAATCCGTGAACAGCTTGAGCAAATATCAACATGGTCCTCTTTACCATGCCATCAAGCTTTTCCAACAGACGTGGAATGACACCACTGCATTGCCACCCGTTGGCCGCCTTGATTGCACCATGGATACTTCAGCCAACATGCAGTCTATCATCCGACATGCGAAGAAAGGATGCGACTATGATCGAACCTTTCCAGAATGTAGGGTCACATTTGTGTTCGGCTGTGGAAAGCATTCCGGCAACAGGGATACGACCAGATGAGGCCTGACGACCAGACGAAGTTCGAAGTCGATAATCTCCGCACCATCGCCGACTATCTGGTTTCCTCAGCGAAAAGATTCAAGCGCCTCACGAGTGAGATGCTCATGAATGGAACAAGCGACTCTTACTCGCACCTCCCGCTGTTGGCACACATCCGTAGTCGATCCGAAGCCATCCAGAAGACCAAGGGGCATCACAAGAAGAAGAACACTTGGCAGCCATGGGACCAGAAGAAGCACTACAACAAGGTGAACGACTACCACGGACGGCAGAAACAAGATCAAGTTGTGGATGAGCATCTGGACGAGTTCCTTCATCTTGGCGGATTCCTCGAAGAATGCAGTTGCCTCGTTGGTACACAGGATGTGTGCACTGTTGCAGAAGAGTATCTTATTCAGAGCTCGGCATGTCCTTCATCCCTCGGTCGTTCAACTTCGGATTTTTGGTCAAGGGTCCAACGTTCACAGTGAGCAGGTTGAGCGTGGTAGAATTTGTGATTTTTGTCTCCTGGGTGTGTTCTCGAATGCGCTTGTTGGTGGGTTGCAGCAAGGATCCCAGGATGCTGGTGTATGGCTTGATCTTCCGCTGATCGTCATGATGAGAGAGGTCCTTGACTCCGATTAAAAGCTTGATCGGATAGCCTGGCTCTGGCTGCTGTCCTCTGAACTCTTCAATGATTAATGGGTCCTTCTCACGGTTCATTTTCATCGTAATTCATGGACTGGCCAACGTGTGCAAAGGAATGATTTCGCACGCGCTGAGGTCAGAGCGCAGGGATTTTGGATTTTGGATTCCTCCTGTACTTCTCCATGAGTGCGAGGAAGCTCTCCATGGAATCTTGGAACTCCTTTTTGGCCATTTCCTCGGTCATCCCTCTGGAAAGGTTGACGGTCTTGAGCTCGGCGATGAGTTCTTAGAGATTCTGGGCGTCATGGCATTCCACGTTCTGACGGATTTGTCTGGATCGGAAGCCTTCTCCATCGGATGACATCTTGATTTGGATCTCCTGAAAAGCCTGCTCCGCTATCACGATTGAGTCCCATATCTGGGGGGCTTGATTTTTAAGGAAATGTCCACTATGGTAACGGTGCTCTGTGTGGCCCTGGATCTATTTCAGTAGGGTCCTATTCATGTACACCGAATGGATATATTGACCAATCGATGTCTCTGGTAAAAATACAGTATACCTGTGAGCACACCGCAAGGGGTTTTATCTCCAAAGCAATATACGCATATACGAGGTGAGAAAGAAGGCCCTTTGAGCCAATGTTGCGGAGTGAAGTTGTGAGTGAGGTTGTGAGGGGTTCAACGACTGTAAAAACAAACGCAGGGGGAGGGGGTTCTGGTTTCAGCTGTTTCGGGGAAAAGTTGCGTGCGATGGATCACTACGCTGGTTGACAACCCAGACAGGCCCAGGCCCCGTCCTTTGCTTTTCCTGGGTTTCTGAGTTCCCGTTGAAACTACTGCACCTGAAAAGGGTACCGTTCCAAAACGACACCTGTGTGTAGCTCACATGCTTCGATGAGCACACAATTTCCCTACCTTCAAACACATGATAATAGGAAGACTACGTGTTGCGCGTTTGCTGGGAAAATCAACCAAGTGTGCAAGTGTCAATCTTCTTCGTGGTCTGGTCTTAGCTGACAAACGATCTGAAAAGCCAAGCGCACAACTCTCCCACGTTTTGTTGGGAAACAGGGACCTCCCATTTTTGTTGCAGAGTTTGCGATTTGGGTAAATATCAGCCAACCAGAGCCAAACATGGAAGAGGCAGAAACGCGTCCCTACCTCAAGTATGCACGAGACTCCGAAAGAGACTCCTAAACCTTGGAGCAACCAGCATTCTTTGAGTAAGGAGTTTCATCATCCAAACGGGTCAACCATTTTAATGGAGGTTGAACCAAAAGATCCTTGGGTAACGAAGGAACTGGTCCCCTCAGTGGTTGTACAATGGGGATTATGGATTAGGATTGGCCAACACTCCATTCTGAACAGCCCAGACTTGCGAAGCACGTTCCAAAACATCCACATTCCCATGCCACGAATGTAGTCTTGTGGTTGGAGTCTAGCGTTTTCAGCCAGAATTTGAGTGCAGATGTTCAGCGTCCAAAGCTCCAAAACCTTCTGCTCCCATGTTACGTGAAAATTAAAGTGAAGCCTTTATCCGCGTTCAATACCCCCAAACCCCAGCTTCAAGGGGTTTAAGTTTTTGTTTTTGTTTAATCAGCTTTTATATAAAGGGGGACCTTCCTCACTAAACCCAATCGCTATGCATTTTAATAGGGAACCACCTCAACAGTGGTTGGTGGCCATGAATGCCCCCCTAAATGACGTCCACCCAAGGGTCCCTCCCCCAATAACATTCGGGACATCAAGTCGCCTGTTCGTTTGGTTTCAGTTTGGAGCAAAAAGGGACTCACTTCGCCGGTGAGCGGCTCAGGAGGTCATCATGATCTTCCCCATGTGGGAGTTGGTGATGTTTGTCTCGGCGCTGGGGCCTGAGAATGAACGAGTTGAATGTCACTCTAGTGAGGGTATCAATTTCCCCTTTTGGTTTTAACGATCACGTGTTTTGTTTGTTAAACTCACTGTCTTTTTGTTGTTCACTAGGGACATAAGGAGCCCTGAAGGGCAGAAAACACTGAGTCGCTTGAGGCCCTGTTCCTTTGGACCCTTTGGTTCCCCGGCTTCTTTCGAGCCCATTGTCATTCAATTTGCTCGCGTGCGTTTGGTTTCCTGGGGTCAAACATGACGTAGAGAGTTGGCAACCATTTGGCAACGCGTTGGCAACCACTTGGGCGCAGTTCACCATGGACCATGGTAGAGGATTCTGCGGTGATGGTGTCCTTTTCCGGATTCGGTTTTCAGCATCTTGTGCCACTTGGGGAACTCGAACCATGGATGCGAGGAAAAAACAGTCATGATAATGATGGGAATCAGCTGCTTAACCAAGGGTATCACAAAAAGTTGCCAATTTTCCCCTAGGTCTGTCTGCGTATGGTTATCCCAAAAGGCCAACTTGTTTGCCCTGACTGAGGCAGTTGCAACGCGAGGGGATGTATAGCGACCGACCAGGGCTTTGTCATCTTTGTCATTGGATATGGTTGGTGTATCTACGGTGCCCTCCCCCCTCGCAACCTTGCACCCCCCATCTCCAATGGCCGTCCTTCAGGATTAGGGACTCAAAGGACTTATCCCTAAAGACCAATTTAGCCAGTTGAGTGGCAAACAAAAAGTTTGGGCATTTTCGGCCAATTCACCAGATTTCGTGGAGGTATGTGCCCCACATCATCGCTTGCCTCATCATTCTGGCCACCATGGTGCGCAAGCCATTCAGATGGCTCGCCGGAGCCCCAGGATGGATCTTCTTTTCGCTTCTGGACTGGGGTTCCTGGGGCAAAATCAGCTCGTGGTTGCAACCGGCGACTGGGGAACATTTTGGGAACTGAATTTTTAATCGGGGAAAGGTGTCCAATTTTGGGATGGTTGAAGCCTCACTTTTTGGCATAGTAGTCCACTAGGCTGATTAATTAACATTCCAAGGCCACAGGGGGGAATCCAATCTAAGAGACACTGTGGTTTTGAGAAGACTCAGCCGGCCGGCTTGGGATTGAATCCCCTTCCGTAGCTGCTACATCTCAGAGTTGACGTAGGGCCACATAAACTTGATGCTTCCAAGCCCTAGACTTTTAGGTAGGGAGACAGAGGAGTTTATGACATATCCCACAGGTTCAACTTGTTGCACGGGATCATACCGGGAACATGAGTATAAGGATGGCCTGTAAGTATCATGAAAGGAGTAGCCGGTTTCCACCACTGATCAGGATGGTACCTTTACGGCCCTCCATTTGACAGTTCCCTGGCATCTCAGTGGATTCTCCCCATCACGTGTTCCCACGAGCTGAGTTCATAGCGGTGAAAGTGGGTCTGAATTTTGACGATTGGGTACGGCTAGCTTCGTCTCGAGCCGCTTTGGGCTCCCCTACATGACTCAAAAGGAATCCCTCAATCTCAGCAAAATGTGCATTGACTTAGCAGGGGGTTTGCATTTGGAGATACTGCGTCCAAGCTCACCCTTGCTTGGACCAAAGCTCCCTGTCACGGGGCAGACATTTGGGTAATGTGTCAAAAAGGGGGAATGCAAAAATGGTTCCAGGGCAAAAAGCAACCTTTGGCACCGCAGGCAGAACTTCCGCCAAGCCGGTGCTAAAACGAAGCAACGTAGTTGTTAGTGACTCTTTGTGTCTTTTGCGCCAACCTGCGCAAGAGTCAAATGAGGGGCTAAATTACAAACATGTACCCATGATGACTTAAGTTAGTAACGCAACTCCCAACCCCCATTCCAATTATTTGGGCCCCAAGTCCTTCCGAAACGGATAAATCGGGAATGAAGTATGCAGGGAACTGAATTGGGCCTCCAACCAATCCCTACGCCCTGGGGCCTGCGGGGGAGAGGCTTAACACGAGCTAATTTGGGCTCCCTCTGCCCTCCCCTCCTCCCCAGGCCCCGAGAATCTATGGAGGGGTGAGCACGTTGAACCCTGGCATGGGGTTGATAACCAAAATCTCACTCCCTGAGTTCATGAACCTTAAACTTTTTGGGAAGACCATTTTGGCGGCAAGTAAAAATTACACCAGCAGAGACCCCAAACAGTTGAGGGCTGACGGGCGAGCACAAACATGCCAACAGCTTGTGGCTTTCTGCGCTTCAACACGGATGAATCAAAATGATGCAGTCGTGAACCTGGCGCGCGTTGCGTTGCTGCACGTGTGTTGCTGGCGTGCTTCGCGCTTCAGCACCGCGCCAGAACTGAGGCTGGGCAAGCGCGCGCGATGGCGGGCGAGCGCGCGCGCGTGAACGCAAGTGTGGCCGCGCAAGCACGCAGTCACATGGGCAGTTCAAACACACATGTCCAATTCAGACGCACATGTGTGTACACGTGGAACACACATACGTATACGACTGAAACAGTATACATTCACCTGCGGCACACGCATAAATGTGTTGAGCTGGAAAACAAACATGTGCTTCTTGGAAAGCACACACACACATGTGCAAACGTGGAACGCACATATGTGTTCACTTACGACACGCTAATGCGTTCACGTGGAACACACATGTGTGTTCACTTGGAACACAATGAAACGCGTGTCCAATTCAGACACACATGTGTGTACACGTGGAACACACATGCGTTCACCTGGAACACAAAGACGCGCAATTAAAGCACACATGTGTGTACGTGTGGGACACACATATGTATACCACTGGAACGCAAACATGTGTCCACCTGGAACACCGCGTGTGCACGTGAACACACACATATTTATATATATATATATATGCGCACCCGGAACACACACACACACACGTGCGTTCATCTGAAAACAAACATGTCTTCACCTGAAACACAAACACGTGTCCAATTGGAACAAACATGTGTGGACACATGAACTCACAAATGTGTACATGTGGAACACACATATGTGTGCAAATGAACACACATACATGCGCACGCGGAGCAGACACACACACACACACACACGCGTTCATCTGATAACAAACATGTGTCCTCCTGGAACACAAACACGTGTCCAGTTGGAACGCACATGTGTGCACGCGCGAACACACAATGTGTGCCGTGAACACACATACAAAAAAGTGCACGCGGAGCAGACACACACGCACGTGTTCATCTGATAACAAACATGTGTTCTCCTGGAACACAACCGTGTGTCTAATTGGAACACAGACGTGTGTACACGTGAACACACATATGTGTACACGTGAACACACACATATATACGCGCACCCGGAACACACACACACACGAGTGTTCATCTGAAAACAAACATGTGTTCACCTGGAACACAAACACGTGTCCATTGGAACACACATGTGTGTACACGTGAACACACATATGTGTACACGTGGGAGACGCAAATGCGCACACGTGAACACACACATGTGCACACGTGCAACACACACATGTGTACTGCACATGTGAACACACACATTTATGCGCGCGCGGAAAACACAGACACACACGAGTGTTCATCTGATAACAAACACGTGTTCTCCTGGAACACAACCGTGTGTCTAATTGGAACACAGACGTGTGTACACGTGAACACACATATGTGTACACGTGAACACAGCACACGTGGAACACACACATGTGTACTGCACATGTGAACACACACATTTATGCGCGCGCGGAAAACACAGACACACACGAGTGTTCATCTGATAACAAACACGTGTTCTCCTGGAACACAACCGTGTGTCTAATTGGAACACAGACGTGTGTACACGTGAACACACATATGTGTACACGTGAACACACACACATATATATGCGCACCCGGAACACACACACACACGTGCGTTCATCTGAAAACAAACATGTATTCACCTGAAACACAAACACGTGTCCAATTGGAACACACATGTGTGGACACGTGAACACACAAATGTGTGCACGTGGAACACACATATGTGTGCAAATGAACACACACACATGCGCATGCGGAGCAGACACACACACACACGTGTTCATCTGATAACAAACATGTGTCCTCCTGGAACACAAACACGTGTCCAGTTGGAACGCACATGTGCGCACGCGTGAACACACAATGTGTGCAGGTGAACACACATAGAAAAAAAGCGCACGCGGAGCAGACACACACGCACGTGTTCATCTGATAACAAACATGTGTTCTCCTGGAACACATACATGTGTCTGATAAGAACACACATGTGTGCACACGTGAACACACATATGTGTACACGTGCAACACGCATATGTGCGCACGTGAACGCACATATGTGTACATGTGGAACACACATATGTGCACACGCGAACACACACACACACACATATATATATATATATATGCGCGCCCGGAACACGCACACACACACACACATGCGTACACCTGGAACACATATGTGTGTATGTCTGGAAAGCACATTTCTGTTCACCTGCAACACACATATGTGTTCACCTGGAACCCATATATGCGCTCACTTGGAACAGGCATTTGTGTTCACGTGCGACACTGGTGCAGACCTGGATCACACAAGCATGTTTAACCAGAACAAACTTCTGTGTTGACTTGTAACACACATATGTGTACACATGGAACACACGTGTGTGCACATGTGGAGAAACATGTGCAACACAAATGTGCAACACACATGCGTTCACCTGGACAACAAAAATGTGTTCACATGGAATTTACATTTCCTGCACGCCTGGGCGACACATAAATCAAGTTCCCGAAGCCGGCTGTGAGGCGCTATTCCATGGGGCTCTGCCTTGAACAACGCTTGTGTTTTATATGCGTGTTCCAAGTAGGAAAATAGTGTCCGTGTACGATCAATCTAGCTTTTTTGCAACACATTGCTAGCGTGCGAGCCTGCTGCTGCTGCTGCTACTACTGCTAGTACTATCAGTATCGGATGCGTCTCCAGCAGTTACAGGCTTCAGCTTAGCAAAAGCTTTCCGGCGCATTGCGCTTCTTTCTCGCTTAGCTGCACAGTGTCTTTCGTATCGATTGCTAAAGTGCTTTGATCGTATTGTGGCAACTCTTCGTATCGATTCAGTAAAGCATTTGCTTTCGCAGGGAAATACGCAACCCAATTCTTCCGTATGCTCGGTACAAGGCATCCCTGCCGTCTTGCCTCAGCCGTTGTTTCTCCCCTTTGTCCAGCAAATCGCACTCCATGATAATTGCATGCGAGGAGAGCGGAAGCAAATTTGGATTGAAGCGTAACTGGGAACCGGTCACAGCTGACCACTGCGCTAGCGCCTTGCTAGCGCGCGGCTAGCGCGGGTTCGCCGTATTTTTTGGAGTCACGGCGACCATCTGTGTGGATTTGACAAATTAAGGCCACGTAAGATGAAGGTAAACGTGCGGGCTGGCTTCAAGTACTAAGTAAGAACTGCAACATTACACCCTTGAAAGCCACGCAAAGCCCATCGCGGCAACCCACGCGCCAACTCTTGGAAACCAAGATCACCGAAGACCCTAGCGCAAACCAAGCGCCATCCTAGCGCCTCCAGTGGGGAGCGGGCAATCCATTGGTATTTGCAGGACTCCGCTTTGTGTGAATGAAAAACTGCACAAAGTGACTGCGACGGTGGCCTCTGTAGACTAAACCCCCTTACTAGGAATTTTGACCGGATCGCATATGTGTTTTATCAGAACAATCGCATGCTTTCACCTGGAACACAAACATGTGCTGACGTGGAACACACTCATGTGGTCACATGCAAAAAGTGCGTGTTCACTTGGAACGCGCCGATGTGGTCAGCTGGAACACACCAAGAACACACAATCATTTACTTGAAGCACTCGTACGTGCATCCGCAGCATGCTGCCTGTGGCTTGATCAAGCGCACGCGCGCGCTCAAACACACGTTTCTGAGCCTCAAACACACATGCGTGCCCGCGGAATACACCGCGAATGACCAGGGAGCCGTGCCAGGCATCCAGGCTGGGGGACAACAAGAAGGAGACAAAGGGAGACAAATGAACCCGTCCGCCCGGAGAGCCGTGCCAGACATCCAAGCTGGGAGACAAACGAATCCGTCCACCCAGAGAGCCGTGACAGGCATCCAGGCTGGGAGACAACCGGGGCCAAATAAAGGGAGACAAAGGGAGACAAATGAATCTGTCAGGCAAATGAAGGGAGAGGAACCCGTCCGCCGGGAGAGCCGGGACAACCCCAGGTGCCAAGAGCACCACTGGGTATCTCAGCGTAAGGTTCGTTGAACATCCTCGAAGAATCGATAGACGATTTAACTCCAGCGGATTCACGTTTGTTTCACCGGGGGGTTAACAGAGCCTTCTCGTAGCTGAAGCCGTGCACCGCAGCGCACCGCTCTTGTCAGCTCGGGACTCCAAATGCGAGCAAGGACAGAGAGAGGCCGCAACTGATAACGAGGCACTGAACGAACAGACAGGGTGTAGCCAACGATAGACAAGGAAGACGACCCACCACGAGCCCAAGCGAAATCGAAGTCCAGATGAAGGGCAGACAGAGGACCCTGTCCCCAACATCCACAAGACAAGGAATGACCGAAGCCAGGGCCGAAGCCGAAGGCAAACCAGACCCCGCCAAAAGGACAGAACCGCGGGAAGTGAAGGAAACCGCGGAGCGTGAGTGCCACACATCCAGGCTGGGAGACAACGGGAGACAAATGAATCCGTCCACCCAGAGGGGCATCCAGGCTGGGAGACAACGGGAGACAAACAAAGGGAGACAAAGGGAGACAAATGAATCCGTCCACCCAGAGAGGCATCCAGGCTGGGAGACAACGGGAGACAAATAAAGGGAGACAAAGGGAGACAAATCAATCCGTCCACCCACAGAGATGGGAGACAAATGAAGGGGAACCAAGGGAGACAAGTGAATCCGTCCGCCTGGAGAGCCGTGACAGACATCCAGGCTGGGAGACAAGGGGAGCCAAATGAAGGGAGACAAAGGGAGACAAGTGAAACTGTCCACCCAAAGAGCCGTGCCAGGCATCCAGGCTAGGGAGACAACGGGAGACAAATGAAGGGAGACAAAGGGAGACAAGTGAATCTGTCCGCCTGGAGAGCCGTGCCAGACATCCAGGCTGGGAGACAACGGGAGACAAATGAAGGGAAACAAAGCCCAGAGAGCCGTGCCAGACAAATGAAGGGAGACAAAGGGAGACAAATGAACCCGTCCACCCAGAGAGCCGTGCCAGGCATCCAGGCTGGGAGGCAACGGGAGACAAATGAAGGGAGACAAAGGGTGACAAATGAACCCGTCCACCCAGAGAGCCGTGCCAGGCATCCAGGCTGGGAGACAACGGGAGACAAATGAAGGGAGACAAAGGGAGACAAATGAACCCCTCCACCCCAGAGAGCCGTGACAGGCGTCCAGGCTGGGAGACAACCGGGGCCAAATAAAGGGAGACAAAGGGAGACAAATGAACCCGTCCACCCAGAGAGCCGTGCCAGGCATCCAGGCTGGGAGACAACGGGAGACAAATGAAGGGAGACAAAGGGAGACAAATGAACCCCTCCACCCCAGAGAGCCGTGACAGGCGTCCAGGCTGGGAGACAACCGGGGCCAAATAAAGGGAGACAAAGGGAGACAAATGAATCCGTCAGGCAAATGGAGGGAGAGGGAGACAAATGAACCCGTCCGCCGGGAGAGCCGGGACAACCCCAGGTGCCAAGAGCACCACTGGGTATCTCAGCGTAAGGTTCGTTGAACATCCTCGAAGAATCGATAGAGGATTTAACTCCAGCGTGATTCACGTTTGTTTCACCGGGGGGTTAACAGAGCCTTCTCGTAGCTGAAGCCGCGCACCGCAGCGCACCGCTATCGTCAGCTCGGGACCGCAACTGATAACGAGGCACTGAACGAACAGACAGGGTGTAGCCAACGATAGACAAGGAAGACGACCCACCACGAGCCCAAGCGAAATCGAAGTCCAGATGAAGGGCAGACAGAGGAGGACCCTGTCCCCAACATCCACAAGACAAGGAATGACCGAAGCCAGGGCCAAAGCCGAAGGCAAACCAGACCCCGCCAAAAGGACAGAACCGCGGGAAGTGAAGGAAACCGCGGAGCGTGAGTGCCACACATCCAGGCTGGGAGACAACGGGAGACAAATAAAGGGAGACAAAGGGAAACAAATGAATCCGTCCACCCACAGAGATGGGAGACAAATGAAGGGGAACCAAGGGAGACAAGTGAATCCGTCCGCCTGGAGAGCCGTGACAGACATCCAGGCTGGGAGACAACAGGAGCCAAATGAAGGGAGACAAAGGGAGAAAAGTGAATCTGTCCACCAAAAAAACAGTGCCAGGCATCCAGGCTGGGAGACAACGGGAGACAAATGAAGGGAAACAAAGGGGTGCCAGACGTCCTGGAAGACATCTGGAAGACAAAGGTAGACAAATGAACCCGTCCACTCAGAGAGCCGCGCCAGGCATCCAGGCTGGGAGACAACGGGAGACAAATGAAGGGAGACAAAGGGAGACAAATGAACCCGTCCACCCAGAGAGCCGTGCCAGGCATCCAGGCTGGGACACAACGGGAGAAATCAAGGGAGACAAAGGGAGACAAATGAACCCGTCCACCCAGAGAGCCGTGCCAGGCATCCAGGCTGGGAGAGAACGGGAGACAAATGAAGGGGACAAAGGGAGACACATGAACCCGTCCACCCAAGGCTGGGAGACAACGGGCGACAAATGAAGGGAGACAAAGGGAGACAAGTGATTCTGTCCACCCAGGCATCCAGGCTGGGAGACAACGGGAGACAAATGCCGTCCACCCAGAGAGCCGTGCCAGGCATCCAGGCTGGGAGACAACGGGAGACAAATGACAAAGGGAGACAAATGAACCCGTCCACCCAGACTGGATCATCCAGGCTGGGAGACAACGGGAGACAAATGAAGGGAGACAAAGGGAGACAAGTGAACCCAGGGAGACAAACGAACGCGTCCACCCAGAGAGCCGTGCCAGGCATCCAGGCGGGGAGACAACGGGAGACAAATGAAGGGAGACACAGGGAGACAAATGAACCCGTCCACCCAGAGAGCTGTGCCAGGCATCCAGGCTAGGGCTTGGCAACAGGCGAGCCACCTTAAATGAATTTAGAACCCCTCACAGTAAACTGTTTGGGGAAAAAGGCTTCTTTTTTTTGGGACAATCCACTCAGGAAGTGAGACTTTGGCTTTTGTTTTCGCTCGGGATCCGCTCCAGATCCTCATCCTGCCGATCCTGGTGCGGCTTGGCAGCGCTCAGTTGCGAAAGCGGAAGCACAGTTGGCTGGTGGCTGGGTTTCTCACAATGGGGGTGTCATTTTTTCGGGGGGGGGCAACTACATTTGCGTTGTTCGTTTGGTTTCCCTTAAAATCCTCAAAAAAGGAGCACCCTGAAAAAAAGTCAGGATCATTTGTGCTCCCCATATTCTAGGAAACACCCCAGTAGGATCGACCCAACCAGTCAGACCCCAATGGATCTATGTAAGACCGGAGTCCCAATGGATCTATGTAAGACCAAAGTCTCTATGATTGTTGAAATTCCAGTTTGGACATCAGTTGGGGATCAATCATCGAGTTTACCTCCTGAGGAGCATGGTGTCCAAAAGTTCGTTGGACCCCTTGGGGTGCTCGAAGGAAAACCAGATCAGCGCGATGTGTTCGTTGCAGACTTCGACCTTCTCTTGGCCTTCTCCCGGCGAGTCGGATCTGCTTGCCCAAGTTTGAGCGAGGGGGACAGGAAAGCCAGCCCAACTTCTTTGAACCACTAAGAACCCAACCCCCCCCCCCTGAATTTCTCTTTGGGGCACTCCCTTGGACCGTTCGCCACGGTTTTTCCCCGAGGTTCGGCAGCTTGTGCAGCCTGGCTGTCATGGAGTCCCGTTGGCACGCCGAGGCCTTCAGTCCGTGCCTGGAGGGAAATCAACTTGGAGCCTTGCCCCATGCGGCGCGGTCTTTTTACGCAGTCGTTCTCAGCCATCCGTTCCTGAGGTTTTGAGCTTTTTAGGGTTTGATTGGTTGTGGTTGTCACACATAGTGGTTAACCCCGGTCGGTAAATGGAAGGACGATTTAACCTGCGGCCCATATCCTGGTGCTGACTAATTTTGACCCATACCCATCTGGAGGGAGATCATTGCTGTCTTTTTGCCCCAAAACAGTTGTCGTTTGGTTTTTTTGGGGGGGTATGTTTTTTTTTTTGTGTGTGTGTGTGTGTGTCTTTTTTGTTTCATCTAAGACCGCTTTTGAAGAACCACTATGACCGAAACTGCGGCGCTGTCTTTTTAAGTTGCTGTTTTTGTTTTACAAGTTTCGCTGGGGTCAAAGTAGGCTTTCACAAGTTGAACCCCGCCCGCACGCGAATGTGGACTCCACCTGCCAAATTGGTGGCTTCGGAAACACCGCAAAGTGGCATCGACAAACCGGTGGACGACTGGTAAGGAGGGTTTCTATGCCACATTTGGGGTTGTCTCTTTTTTGAGGGTACCCTTTTTGGAGTAGATTTAAGATGGAAACCGAAGCACGACCAACCATTTTGGGGTTCTCGAATTTTGAAACACACCCATTTCGTCTGAAACCCGCTTGGCACCCTGTACGGTTCTTTCACTATTGGTACTTGTCTGGTGCTGTTGACTAGATCTTTTGAAAGTGTGGTGTGTGGAAACCAACCACTTGTGCTATTTTCTGCTGTGTCCTAGATCTAGAAGGGGATTTTGACTCCCTGAGTTCATGAACTTCTAGTCACTTTTTGGGAAGACCATTTGCTGGTAAGTAAAAGGTTTGGCTACTAGTTTGGCAAACTCACTCAAGAAGTGAACGTTGGTTTCAGTATACCTCAACTCTGATCAAATTCCATCATGCCGTTTCAAAACTGTTTGATGCCAGTGGTCGATTGACCAGCTGAAAGAAAACGCCAAGTTTCCCAAATGCAGGCACTCAACCACAACGTACTCCTTATTCCAAGGTAGCTTCGCCTGTTCGGGCGCGTTTTTCTGTGCAGCTCTCGGCTTTTTGCAGAAATTGGCTTATTCACCAGTCAAGGAACAAGTTGGAAGACTGAACTCGTGTTCATCCTTATGCCCTTTCGGGAGTGATCGTGTGGGATTTTGAGTATATGGTGGATCCACCAAAAGACACCCATGTTTCCTTGCAACCAGCAAGCACATGCTTTTGCGCAGTGGGTCGAAGTCTGGTCAAGAAGCAGTTTGGCAGGCAGAGGGCTATGATATGGCGATGCCCTCTTTGCGAGAAGCTCTTGAGGCAGGTGAGTTCGAATGAGTGCATATCGAAACTGGGTGCAATCAGCAGCCCACATGGGTGGCCATTCGGGGTTCCCCTTTGGAGACGAACCCAAATTTGTTGACATTTGCTCGCTCAAAACCAAAAGTGGATGGGTGATTTGTGCTTGAGCCTCCATTTAATGTCCGGAAATCAATGCTTGTCTACTAGTCGCAAGGATAGGCACGGGCTCCGTTTTTCATGAAGCTTGGTGCCGGAGCTTAATGGGCTTTGGTTCCCTTGCCAATGGATTTTGGGTGGAATATGGATGTCAATATGGGTATGTCTCAACCTCCAAAATGGTCGGTGCCCTTTTGGGGTTTCCCTCTAGGGGTGACGCTGGCAGGCAGACTTGTTGCCAACGTTTACTTTTTCGGGTTCCCATTCTGGAAACCGTTGACAAAACGTTGGCCAACACCAAAATGTGCGGTTTGCTGGGGATCTTAGCTTAGTCAAGGGAAGTGCCAGGTTTGACACTTGTGTCTTCTTTTTTACAATGTTCCCGGAAGCTGGCAACTTCGAGAAAATATCAACTTCTTGCCTGGTAGAGCAAAACTGTGAAACAACATGTTCAGCAGATGGTGGTGGTGTTTGCCTTTCTAACGAAACCACAAAAAATGGAAGCCTCAAAAAATGGCGCACCCATGATCTATTCACAGCTTACTCCGAAACTGCACTTGTCAGGAATGGGAAACAGGACTCTTGAAAGTTCCCGGCCGCCACTTTCCAGATGTGCCAATATGGGGAGACCTCTTTCCGAGTCTTGACCCCACGTTCAAAGAAAGACGGACCTAAATGACACCAAAACGGGTCCAGCTAGGACGTTTGGCCCAGCTTTCCTGTTTGCACTTTGGCTCAGCAACAACAACCTGTACAGCCTTTTGAGTACGAAAACCGATGTTCTGAGTGTGCTGTTTGGTTGGGTTCCCCACAAGCGTGGTTTAGTTCGAAGAAAATCACATGTACTAAACCAAACTACAATTTTCCCTTTTTGGAATACAGACAAACCTAAACTAAAACGATTTGTTTGTACTAAACTAAACAGTTGTTGAGGAATCTAAAGAGAAACTTTAAGCCAAGAAAGCAGGGCTCCCATGTGCAGAACAAACAGGACTCGAAGAAAGCCAGCAAAGCAAAAAGGAAAACAACAAGTCCTGAGGGACATGTGTTGATCATGCCCAATACCGTTTGTCTGGGAGATTCTTGTTTGTTTTTTGTTGATTCCCTGGAGTTGTTCTTTAGTTGTTGTTGTTTTTTCCAGCTTGGGCCATTTTCCCGGCAGACTTCTCTCACGCAAGAATCCAGGCGCGAATGCCTTATGTTCGCACACTAAACAATGTGGTTCCAATATGCGCACCCTAACACCAGTGTGGTTGCCCCACATTTCGGTTGTGTCCTGCATACACGCCATTATCTTCTCTTTTTCTTGGTATATTTATGAATTATTATAGGGGTGGAAGAGAGATGGCATGGGAAGGAAAATAGATTCCAAAATTGAACCAATTATTGATGGCCTGATCATTCCCTTCTTTCCTTAGCAAACAGAATCTTGGAGGAAGGGAATTGACATGATTCATTTGTTATTCCTTCACTTCCACTCCTTTATGCTGTAGCGGTTCAAGGGAGTGAGGGATGAAAAGAAAGGCAAGAACGAACGAAAGAAAGAAGTACAGAAAGAAAGCGAGAAAGAGAGAAAGAAAGACCAGGCTGTACACATATCTGGATCACAGTCTCTTTGTATTTATACATTCTATTCGTCACATTGTTTGTCTTACTAATATGTCCTCTGCCTCCAAGGCCATGAGAAATGGTGACAGTCGGTGGGATGAAAGAGTTGCAGGACGCCGCTCTCCCAACGCCCCCTAGGATTCCCCAAGTTCGCGCGCCAGCCCTTGGGGCCCCCCCCAAGCACAGAGCCTCCCCAACCAACCACCCGTGAGGACTACATCAACAGCGGCAAAGGTTCCGTAGAAGTGATACTGGAGGGCCCCGGCCTGAGATGGAGCGCCGTTTCTTCGCGGGTTGGCCGGTTTTGGAACAGGGAAAGGTCCCGAAGTTGTCCTCATTTCAACATGGAAAGCCTGCAAGGGCCGAATCATATTTCGAATGAGAGGTCGTGGGCTACTTCAAAACTTCAGTCATGATCATTGGAGCAACAGGTTGGTAATTTGAGCAGTTAGCCCTTCACACGATGGAGTTCAATGTGTGGGACAGGCCAAACAGACAACGCTGTTTCCGCACTTCATTCCCTTCCTCTTCCTACCTCATGTGCGAGCCAATCAATAATTACAGAATTGCTCGCAAATCCAGGATTTTTACCTTCTATCTTACATCCAGCCTGGTCTAGAGACAGCAAGTATAGAAATATCTCAACAGAAGCTGTCTCCACCCGCGGCCACCAACAGATAAGAAATGCCGTGGGAGCCCTCACCCAATGTCAGATATTTCATGATGGATGCGGGAAGGCCACGCTAGACCAAGTCCTGCCTCTCGATGGGGCGACGGTGTTTTTGTGCTATTGCCAACCTTGGATTAAACTAGTGAGGACCGCGCTAATCAGGCATGGGAAAGTATATAAACATTTGACGAGTCCCAATGAATCCCTTGATTTCCTTGGCCGTTGGAGTAAAAGAGACTCCCCCATTGCAAGGCCGGATCAACCTTCGGGACTTCAGCCATGTTCGGCACTGGTCGAGATCCAACTGGGGAAGGCAGCTCCTAGCACCAGTGGACCCCAAGTTAGACACCGACGTTGAAAGGAACCATGACAGCAAACGAACGGTGGAACGGGTCATGTTCCGCTGGAAAGCCTGAGGTGTTGCCCATTGTCAAGTTGCCGCTGAATGTGAGCGCATCAGCAAGTTCACTGGGCCAAACGACTCAAGTTAGAACTGGAACCCAGAATCTTCCAGACCTCCGGTGGTTTCCTTTGTCTCTTTTTTGTATCGGCCAGGCCGGAGATCTGCCACACGCGTTCTCCGCTTTCACGTTGAATTTGCTTTGGCTGACCCGACAAAAAACCACGGGCTTCGTGCATGGAATGGAAAGTCCATGCCCCAATTCCCGAGCACGCCCTCACTGGAAAGCAAGCACGGCCTATATGATCTTCCAGGCTTGAAATTTTGTTTGCAACCGTATGTCGAGCCGATGAACCACCTGCTATGGGTATCCCCTTTTGAGTTTGATCACCTTCAATGTCTACTGCTGTTAGAACCCTTCTACCTCACCTTTGGAGGTTGGCTTTTGGCTTTCCCTTGCGAACGTTTGGCACAACCGCCATGTTCAGAGATCCCAAAGTTTCGCCGTCCAAATCAACCCAGAGATCCCCCCCAGCGCCTCCGTGTTCCTTGTTCCTCGATTTGTTTTGCAGGAGGTTTCCCTTGCAAACCATTGAAAACCAACTACCAACACAAGGGACACCTCTTCTGGGGGTTTGAAAATCAACCCGATCCCAACAAGAGGAGAAGCTCTTCCTTCCTGTGACCGGGATTGACCTAGGCAAGTTGTACCCCCCTGTCTTCGGGAAGATCGAGCTGATGCGCTACCTGAAGACCTGGCTCGGGAAGAGCGCACGGGCTCCCGGGCTCGGTCCCCACCCCGGGGCATCTTGGGTTGACCCGATCTCTGTGACTGTTTTGTTTTGACTCACTCCCTGAGTTCCTGCATTGTTGGGAAGACCATTGGCGGCAATTAACAGTGTTTGACTTGTTGGCCAATCCACTCAGGAATCCAGTTAAGGTTCAGACCATGCAGAGGGGATCGCAGTGAAACTGTTCCTATGTCGATCCCAGAAGTAGCCAGAATACGTTATATTTTACTAGAGACTGTTTAGTTTTGGGCAAAATCTCAGGTAGTTCGTTCGACTGGAGATGCGAGATCTGGTCAACATCGCCTGACGTGGAACGAACTCTGTTCCCAAAAAGGTCAGAGGGCTCACGAACTGTTCAATGTCCTTGGCAGGAAGTGCATATTTTGAGCCTGCCTCATGTGGAGACATCCACAGATACATCTTTCGTATTTGAGCCCCTTGTACGCAGGGTTGGGACAATCATGGACAAGTTGGGGGAGTGTTGGCAACGGCAAGTGGTCCTAAATGGCACCATGGCCATAGCCTTTGACAAACGAGTTGCTCCCGACAAAGGGGCAAAGGTCACTGGAAATGGTCCAAAATCGGATTTCGGGAAGCTGCCCTCGGAGTTTGTCTCAAGCACACAGAAAGCGGTTTTTTTGGGGAATTGTCTGTTTTGCTTCGGCCTTCATGCAATCACCATGGCCCCCCTGCCTCCCAAGTCTGCGTCCATTGGCTCAAGGTGTTCACTTTTCCCTTAGAGAAATGGTCAAATAGTTGAACTGCACCAGCATGTTTTAAACAGGCCGTGTTTCTCTTGTCGACCGCATGAATGGTTTACCGACTCTGCACAACATAAAATGTGTTGTTGCTAATTTAGCATCCCAACTCTAAACCTAAATATGCTTCGAGAGCTAATTTGCTTGTAGTTCTGTCTGGAACACTTTTGCGAGCTTCATAAGCTCAACACTGGAAAGGTGTGTGCAACTTAGAATTGGCTGCAACTTATTTCGTAAACATCGTAAACTTCGTATGATATCGCAAATCATTGCACCTTCGGTGCAAGCCTTTGCTCTTTTTCCATTTGTTGGGTGCTGAATATTCTTGTATCATGTAGTGGACTGATAGGGAATGATACATGGTGTTTCCCACAAAGGATCCCAAAATTGAAATATTCCCATATATAACCCCCAAATTCAAGTATTCTCCCACAAGTCTCTTAAATGGGACACTCATCAAGGGTCTTGCACATACTGTGTTCCCTGACATGTTTGATTTCCCCCCCCCCCCCCCAATGGTGAGGGCTACAGCGTTCCCATAAATCCACCATGTTTTTCTTCAATCGGCGGATCTGGTGTTCGGTCGAAAACTCAACTCCATCCGAGGTCTTCCATGACACGGATCAGGATGCGGACTACCTGCCGGAGGAGCGCGTTTTTGGTGAGCTATCGGAAGGTAGCCTTTCAGATGAATAGAAGGAACTGAACAACAGCCTATCCCAGTTTAAGTAGCAGGAACCTCCTGAGGCGGAACCCGGATGAAAAGATCAAAATGCGCTCTCAATAGTCAGTCACTAGGCACTATTAGCCTGAAATGGATGCCCTTACTACGGCTCTGAATCAGTGCGTCTTGCACGAGCCCGGAGAGTTGCTTGGGTTCGAGTGGCATGTGTGTTGCAGTTGTTCTAGAACAAACCTGCCCAGAACTTGGTCCACGGTTTCCTTGTTTTGCTCTGAGTAAGCCACACTTACCAGCCAAATGATTCCACGGGCTAGGGAGGCTGGTAGTTTCCCACTGGGATGCAAAGCGTTTTGCCCTTTGAGCCGCAAGGTCTCGTATCACAATCCAATGGGAGTGTATTGTTTTGAGGGTACCGCTTCTTGTGGTTCTAAATGCAAATCAACGGCAACACCGTCATTATTTATTGTTTTATGCATTTGTTTATTTATTTATTTTTTGGGGAGGGGTGGCAAAAAGGGACACGCGTATCACAAAGCAATCCAACACGAGAAGTAAAGGTTCCGCGAGCCTCCGGAAAGCGATTTTCCCAGTTATTTGTGTTGTTTAGTCTTTTTGTTGATTTCTGTATTTTATTTGTTTATTTATTTGTTTTTATTTATTTATTTATTGATTCATGTATCTCTTATTTCTTTACGTACTTATGTTTTGTTTTGGTTTTTTTTGAGGGGGGAAGAATTGGAGTGATCAATTTCCACCGAAAACTGAGACGAGCCTTTGACACCTTCTTTCCCGATTCCCCCGCTCTTCTTTTCCATATGATTTGTTAGCAGGAAATCTGGGAAGTTGAGCGAGCAGCACACCAGACCGGACGTGTTAAGGTTACTGTCACAAAGGGGGAACTTCGATATAAGGGGCGAGCTAGTATACAGGTTGCGGGAAAGCAGATGGCTCAAGCAATTCATTGAGTGTGTTCCTTGCCCCATTTGCTTGGCCATGTTGCAGCTGTTCTGTGGCCGGTGTTTTGAGGATCCTCGGCTTGTTGCTTGACCATGTTGCCGCTGTTTTATGGCTGGTTTTGTCCGGTATCCTCGGCTTAAGCCGATCTGAGGTAAGCCGACCTCCCCTGGTTCGTTCCCCTTGAGGCAGTCACAGGGTCTTGAGAATGAACCTTGGATCTGTCAGAAGGAAACATAGATCTCCGTTTGGGGAAATAGATTGATTTTTCCCTGGTAGATTATGAAACAGCCAGCTCAACCACTATGTTCTACCACAACCAAGAAGGACGCCTATGGAGACAAAGGGGATGGTTCGGTTTGGGGGGTCCCTTCCCTGAGAATCCACACACAGAGCGAGTGGGTCGACTGGAACGAGAACTCATCCCCTGTGTCCCCAGTTGTCTAGACCCTAAGAAGGGCTTTGGGGGTCCTGAATGCTGAAAAACGCTCTATTTCCCCTAGGGTCGAAATTTAAACGTCACCTTCTGGGTCAATTTGAAGCGAGTTCCGTTTGTGTGGGGTGCTGTTAAGAAGACACACATGTAGGGAACGCTAACATTTAAGATGCATTCGGAAAACCACCACCAAAAAAAGTGATATTTCAACCACGAATGGAAAAAAGTTACCCATGGTCACGGTCGGGGGCGAAGGCAATATTGATCAACCCTTTGTGTCGTTTTGGTTTCCCTTTAAAATCACACCAAGTGGTACCCACAAAACCAGACACCCATGTCCGTCTGCTGTCATCAGGCCTACAACAAGGGCGATGATTGGTTCGAGGCGACCCTCGGTGGGCCCATGGTCTACACCGGCGCCCTCTACGCAGGACCAGATGTACCGGATGTGGGCCGGGTTCCAATATTCTGTGAATGGCAAGCTCTCCTGGATGAAAACGAGCGAAATCCATTGATGTAGGTCCTTTCTTGGGGGATCCTCATATTTCAGGTTTTGGGATTGAGGGATCCCTGCCTCCCCCAGATTTTTTTATTTGTGGCCAACCCCCCTGAGCCGAAAGTGGTTAAAGCGGCGGTGGGTTGGACTCACTCGCCTTCCTGGACTTTTGGTACCGTTTGACTTGGCGGTTCCCAGCCGTCTGGTTCCTAAGCTGTTTAGTCGTCTTTGGCTGTTCAGCTTTTAGCATGGGATCAGTTTGGACACAGTTGAGTGGCAAGACTTGAAGCTTGAACTGTTTGTCTGAGACTAGCTTGGTTCTCCTTGATGTTGGTATTTGCTTTCCCCAATCAGTGAGTAGTGGGATGCTCTTCTTTCTCTTTCCGGGGAGGGGGGTGGGGGGGCGGGGGGGTGGGGGGGTCAAAGCAGGGCTCTTTGAAGATGTTTGTCTTCCATTTGCTTATGGATATGTTTTAGGTTCTCCTGTTGGTTTTAAGGGGAATCTACCACTGGAAATTCACGACTAACAATATGTTGATTCTTTCCAGGGGAGTCAACAAGGACCGCTTTGAGCAGCAATCGAAGGCAAACTGCGTTTAAACATAAGCAACATCAGAGAGCAAGCTGACTTCAAGGCGACACCTTCAAATGCTGCGGCTATTGTCCGTCTTTTCAAACAGCACCAGGAGGAAGTCCTGAAATCCGACTTTTGGACAGTCGTGTGATTTCAGATGACATGTATCTGCGCGGAATTGCGAGCACTAAATTTTGATATTCGGCGATTTCGGCGCAGAAATAGATTCCTTCCAAAACAAGCTGGGTAAAATAACACAAGTTTTCAGATTATGTTTTGCGCCACGGTCAACTTTGTTTTCGGCCAGAGATTGCCTTTGAAAGCATGTCTTACAAAATCAAGAGCCCTTCGCTGGTAGAGCATTTGGGACGTGTCCGAACAAGGCACTTCTCCAAATCAAGGTCCAGCCCTTATTTCTCACCCAAGAAGCAAGCACCATTCAAATCGAGGAAGCCTCCACCTGGCCTTTTCCTTGGGAGGCAATGATTGCTCCTTCAAACAAGTGCAAAATATACACGGACCTCTGCACATGGCTTGTTTTCTTTTGCTCTGCTACAACCTCACTTTGCTTGAGAGTCCCGGTCCTTGCAAGTGTCGAACTGCCTTGGAAAAGGAATCTATTTGTTGCATAGTTGCTCCGTCCAGGATTGCTCTGAGCCTTCAGACGGCCTTTTGACCAGGTACCTTTTGTTTCTAGGCTTGTTAGGTCTTTGGAGGGCCCCTGTCTATGGTTCAGCTCAGCTTTTTCTTTGCACTTGGAGCGGTTGACGGACGGTAGCCGCGAGTCAGTGCCAGGCGACAATGAGACCTTATGGACTGCCCAGCAGAAGAAGCCACTTGGCCTGCGTGGGGGGTTGACTGTGGTTGGAAGCAGGTTGCCGTTCCCAGTGATACCAGCAAGCTTCCCACTGCAAATGAGTGTGTTCCACTGCACAGCTCTTCAGCATACAGAGCCCAACAAAAGATCCTCATTGGGGTCGGCTCAAAAGGTGTTGGAGGGTTCTACACTGTGCCAGGGATCCTTCCTAGATGCGTTGGTCAGAGTGATCCAGAGATAGGAATTCCCACTGAAGATGGACAAACTTTGCATTAGCCAAAGGAGTCCAGTCCCCAAAATCCGTCTTGCCTGGCGCGTTCGGCAGGTTCCCCCTTCTGGAAAGGGCTCCTTTGAAGCGAATGAATGACCATTCGAAGCAGGTGGCCTGTTCGGATTCGGATTTCCTGTTTCCCTTAGCCACAAAAACTCACGTTTTGTCAGGGTCGCATCAGTCCGGCGGAGCTTCCAGGAGAAGGAGTCACAGGTCTTGAGAGCTACGCAAATAGCACAACCGTGGGGGTCAAACCATCTTGGTGGTGAAAAGTTTGCACGCCCAAAAACATATCTTTGGGTCTTCCTTAGGATTTCTTGTGGATGACTTTCAAGGACCGCTGAAAGCCCTTGGAGTTGTTGGGCAACAGTTGGGGTTGCCCTCATTTTGAGACATCCTGGAGGAATTTGTGGATCTCCAGACGAATTCGGTTTGAGTTTCTTTCGGGCCAAAAGCCCAAGCCCAACAATCTGCATACCGGTTGTTGGGCCCAGCCCTCGTTTTTGTTTCTGAGGGAGTTGGGGGCATGATTTCATCACGGCTTGGGTGTCTTTGCGAGGGCCAGAAATCTGGGCTTCATGCAAGCTGCTTGGTGCAAACTGCTGGCAATATGTTTTTTTCTCGCACTTGCACACGGGGCAGGATTGCCCTTTTGGGAACCCCTGCCATTTTGGGTGGGAGCGCCGCATGCAGTTTTCGATCAGAACTGCCCGAGCCCCATTCCCATCACGCCGGTTGTTTACATGGAAAGCTAAAAGGGTTCTACATGGAATCAATATGTCAACCCCTGATTAAATACCCCCCCCCCCCCCATTTGTTATCAAGGGGGGTCCCCCTTTTAGCCGGGATTCCTTTCTTCCACACACGCCCCTGATTACGAAGTGGGCGGTTTATTCACTTAGAATGGATTGGGCCGAGAGGTTCTCGAATCCTCTGGCAGCCTGATTGACCAAGATGGAACATACGGGCACGTGCGCACAGATGTTTCGTATTTCTGTCCGATGGGTGTTGAAGGAAAAGGGGCCATGACTGACTGCTATGGGTTTGTCTCAGCATCTTGTCAACTCAATGGGTTCCCGAAGGGCTGGTTTCTATTTAAAATACTCAAATGCAAGATGCAGCCACGTGTCTTTGGTTCAAACCCCAGGCACTTTGTGCAAGATATGCAGTCGAAGCCGTTTGCCGAGTCATTTGGTCCTTGGTTCCCAATACGGAAACCATGGCCCAGAGGAGTTTTGGCCCTGCCTAGGCTGGAGTACATCGCTCACTCCCTAGGAGTGAAACCTGGTGACAAGGCGTGCTTCTTTTGTGTCTCCGTCTTTTTGCACTTTTGCTTTGTGTTGCCTTCAGGTTCTCTTTTGAACAGGCAGGCAATTAACTTTCTTCAGTGGGGTTAAGTCTGGCAGACCTTATTCCGTTTCCGTGTCCTTTTGTCCAAAGTGGGGTCCCCCAACTGCAGGACACCCCCAGCAGGTTCACCTGGCACTTACAAACAAGGATGATGAATCAAAGTCAAATTTCACCACTTTGATTGGGCTTTTTCCGATTGCTCTGAAAGTGGTTGATCCGAAGCAGGCAGAGCCTTGGAACATGTGATCGAAGGATTGACTCTCCTCGGAAAGGGCCAGCCAATCTAAAATCATTATTTAGCCTTTTCACCTCTTTGCGAAAATAAATGCACTGGCGGCAAGAGTAGAGGTTATCCTCGCTGGCGGTTGCTTATTTGGGCATCGGGAAAGTAGGGTCGCCTCGGAAATGGTTCGTTGTGGTTCCCTTTGGAAAGTATTGCCAATGTGCTCCCAATGCAGTCATTCAGGTTGAGCTTCAGCATATTCGACCACGCTGACAAACATCTTGGCCGATTGCTGAGCGATATCCCACGGATATGCATCCGACATCGACGGAAACGTTGCAATGAACGAACAGGGGCTGGTTTTAACGGGAAACCAGATTGCCGGTCTTTGGCACTTTAGCCATTCTCCTTAGTACGTGGCCGATTCTTTACAGCGCATCCGGACATACTCGAATAGTACAACTTGCCTAGATGTTCTGGTTTCGTATTTCCATGTGCTCCGTTGTGGTGTTTCTTGCTTGGCGATGTTGGAAGCAGTGTTTCAGATGACTCAGGTTTATTTGTTTCTTGACTGTGGTCTCTTTGTCAGAAATGACTTTCTAAGATGTTGTTTATGTTTCCCCAAACTACCGACCCAAAAACGGGATGAAAGACCCACGCAGCATTTTTGCAACTTTCGGTGAGGGGACGAGAATCAACCACTCAATCACTGAATGGGACCGGCCTTTGTATTGTTTGATTCCAAAAGCTTCAAGCGACTGTTTTGGCCAGCTTATACTTGCACTTTCCGGGCACAGCATGCACGCAGCATGTCCAGAAACGCTGTGATTGATCTCCAGAGCATTTTCTTTGTTCCAATGGCAGCTTTGCACTATCGACCCCTTCTTGCTTTTGAGCCGCACACTAAAGGGAAACCACTCACCAAGTCTAGAGGTCGGGTTGAAACGACCCATGATTTCTGAAGGCTCAGGGTGGATGAAGTTGACACAGCGGATGAAACCCTATGAATACTGGGATACACTATCAACTCGTACCAATCAACTGGTGCATTGAATTTCTCCGTGTGTGTCATGCACCTGTTCTGCCACTTGCGAGGCTCTCGAGATCGGCTGCGGTTGGGGCCGCCGGGACCTCTTTTCGGAAAGCACGGAGCGCTTGCCTGTTTGGTCCACTGACAAGTGGCGGGGATGCCATCTTTGGGCCGGCTCAGCTTTGCGGGTGCAAGCGCAATGTCCCGTAGGGCCCCAAAACACAAACATGCAGTGGTACCTGTTTTGTCGTTTGTTGGAGCGGGTTTCCCTTCAAAATCAATTGCCAACAGGGTCGCCGGCCAATAGACCGGGAGTGCTTAAAGTCCCGGCCCTGCCTTCGCGCGACTCAGGCGACCGATTGCTGGCATTGGCGAGCTCTGAAATCACCACTATTGTCAAAATGGAGTTGAATAGACCTGTAGAAGTGGCTACCCTTTTGTGGAAGAATTCAAGGGCGTTGATTGGTCACCATTCTTTGAGATAATCCTACTTGTAATTCCCTGATTTATCACAGGGACATGATGGCACAGTCAATGTAGAGAATTGCCACTTGAGGGGAACCACCTTAATGGGGTGCAACCTGACTCGGTCCCCATTTTGGAAACATCCTTCAGTGCCCCAGCTGAACCCCCTTGTTTTTGTGTCCCTTCAAGGGTGTGCCTCCAATTGACGGAACTCCAATTTGGAAATGGCTTCCTTCGGTTGAGCCCAAAACATCGCAGTGTGTCCCTTTGCTGTCCCTTTTTTTAAACGGATGTATGCATGTATAACAAGACACAAGTGTTCAGCTGAGCCCTCAGGATTCCTCGTCTTCGAAAGCCCCCAAGAGAGACCCCGCAGAACTAACGGCCCCAGGTCTCTCAAACTACTTGGCGAGCAAAGGCGCCAAGGTCACAGGCGTGATCCGAGTCGCGTGTCGCGTGTTTCGGGTTGCTGGCCGCAGTTTGGGGGTCTGATGGGACGTTGCGCTCCTAATCTTGACATGTTATGAAATGTTGCCAAGCATAAAGCCGCCAAAAGACCTGCAGTTACTTCCATTTGTTGAAATGAATATGTTGTTATTTTTATTTTCCCAGCCTGTTGGTTTTACCGGAATATCGCTACTGGAAAGATTTGTTTCCAGGGTGTTTAAGCAAATGGAAGGTTGCCTTGTTCTTTGTTCTGAGTTTAAAACCAACTGCCAAGAAAGGGTGCCCTCTTTTTCCCTGCGTGTTTGGGATCGAACATATGGCCATGGTTCAAAACCAATGGTACCATGTTGGGATAGGTGCACCACCCATTTTAGTCTATTTTAGTGGGCATTGGGATGTTCACTGGGGGTACGGGGTTTTGACCCATGGCCATATCGATTTTTGGTTCTCGAAATGTTGCATCCGGCCTTCTTCCGCCAGGTGTCACCATGTCCTCGGATCAGCAGGCCTACGCCCGCCGGATGAGCGCCTTGCCACAGACGCCAAAGAGTACCTCTTTTAGGGGCTCCGAATGAAAAGGACACCAACACCAAACCAAAAAGAAGCCCGAAGGAAACCAAACAGACACCAGAAAGGCCCCCTGTTGTTAGGTGTGTCCAATTGGATGGTTCCGGAAGCCATCAAGAAGTTGGCTGGCTTTGGTGCTCCGATCAGATGTAGCGGAACACAAAGAGCCTGGCAATTCCAATTCTCAATTGGATTCTGAAGCCAAATGGGAATCCGACAACACCTAGAACTAGGGGTCTTCTTTGAAGGACACTCAGTGTTCCGGTGGCTGTGTGTGTGTGTGTTTGGGGGACCCCGCAAAATGAGGTTGTCCTGTTGTTTCCCTTCTAAGCCACCTCGCAGGGATACTCGCCAATTCCTCTGCCATGAGGCAATGAATATCAACCGGCTCTTCTGAGCAGCCGGATGCGAGCTGCACATTTGACGAGGGAATGGCGGGGATAAGCCCAGCTTATATATGCAGAACTTCCAGGAACCCTCCGGACCCCTCCCTTTGGAAGGCCATAGCTTTGAGCTGTTGGGGAAAAGAGAACCCCAAACGAAAGCCACTTGTGTGAATCGCCAAATTGTCTTCAACTCGTTGCGCTCTAAACGGCGGCGGCCGGCGCCATTCCCGCTAGGTGGACTCATCGGGTGTCAGGTGAGGGATTTGGTTGCACCAATTGGGGCTCCCTCCCAAAAAATGACACACCCAGTCACTTGAACTTTAATACTGGATCGTCTCATTATTTGTTCAGTCTCCTTCGAGGTCAGTCTCTGGGCAACGACGTAGACATTCTGCTGACAAACTTCTTCGACTTGAATCTGCCGGCCGCCGCCTCGGAGAGATGCGGATAAGTTGTGCGCGCTCGTTCCCCCCCCCCCTGTGTTTTCCTCTTTTTTTTGTTGGACCCCCAAATTGGGTGGTTGTCCTTTGGGTTTGCTTTAGCAAAGATTCAGGCACCCGCCAAATTGGTGGCTTTCCTTGTGGTTTCTTTAGACAAGTTCTAGGGAATTCGCGTTGGCGGCTTTCCTTGTTGTTTTCGGTAGAACCGCAACCAACAAGGGCGACTCTCAAAAAAGACACACCCATTTTAGGACGAGGTTTGTGCCAATGGAATCCACTCTAAAGTGAACACGTAGTCATGGGGACGGGAATCCCACTTTAGTATTACAAAAAGTTGTATCAACCATGTGACCATGTGCTCATCCTGACTCCCCTTGGGCCCGGTTCAGGTGGTGTCCATGTTGTTTTCTTGTTGCTTGGTGGCATGCCCACTGAAATGGGCAAGCGGATTCCCTTGTTCTAGAGTCACTTGGCAACTGGGGGGGGGATCGATGCGTTTTGGATGGAGAGCCAAAGTATCCAACTTGGCTTGTCTTGACTGATTTGACCTGTGGCTTTAGGGAAAATGTTTTTCCCCGCGGCAAAATATCTATTTGCCAGGGGCAAGTATTTGAAGCGGCTCAAAGGTCAACCCAGCCCTTGGCGGTTAGCTAGAGTTTCTGTCAGCCGACTCAGGACAAGTCCTTCAATGTTATCTCCTCGGTGGAAATGGCCGAGCACGTTGGCATTCGGAACCTTGTCAGCAAGCGGATGGGATGTTCGATTTTCGGATCGGAGACAAACTCGGCGAGGCGGCCGAAGTGCCGGGCGCTTTGCCGACTTGATTTCAGGGGCATCAGTTTGAGGCTTGGGTCCCGAGCTCCTTCTCGTGTTTGGTGAAAACGTCCAGTCTGCCATGTGGGAGGGCATGGAGGACTCGCTCACTTTCCCGAACAAAAGCCCAGAGCGCCAAATGTTCGATGGTTTGAAGCATGCCAAAGCCTCCCGGTTGCTTCCTTGCGCCGTTTTGGACGGGGGGGAGGGGGCCTCCCAAAAAACGTGACCCTTCTGCTATAGCTGCTATGGAAAATAGAGAGGCTGAGAGGCTTACCTTGAAAGTCCCAGGAACTACAACAAGTTCCTCCGCAAGGCGCCAGCCTGAGAAGCCAGGTGGCACTCTTTGTAATTGGCGGGATGGGCAGAGAGTCTGCGAGAGAAGGGTGAGAGAGACAGGGAGAGGTCTGTGCGTCTGTGTTCGTGTGTGTGTGTTTGTTTGCGTGTTGTTGTTGTTTTCTTGTGTGTGTGTGTTCTGTGCGTCTGTGTTCGTGTGTGTGTGTGTGTGTGTGTGTTCTGTGTGTGTGTGTCTTCTGTGTGTGTGTCTTCTGTGTGCGTTGTGTCTGTGTGTGTGTGTGTGTTCTGTGTGTGTGTGTGTTCTGTTTGTGTGTGTGTGTGTGTGTTCTGTGTGTGTGGTCTGTGCGTGTGTGTGTTGGGTGTGTTGGTGTGTTGGTGTGTTGGTGTGTTGGTGTGTTGGTGTGTTGGTGTGTTGGTGTGTTGGTGTGTTGGTGTGTTGGTGTGTTGGTGTGTTGGTGTGTTGGTGTGTTGGTGTGTTGGTGTGTTGGTGTGTTGGTGTGTTGGTGTGTTGGTGTGTTGGTGTGTTGGTGTGTGCGATGGATGTTGTGTGTGTGTGTGTGCGATGCATGTTGTGTGTGTGTGTGTGCGTGTGTCCGCTGTGTGTCCGTTGCGTGTGCTTGTTGAGTGTGTGTGTGTGTTGTGTGCGTGTGTTGTGTGCTGTGATGTCTTGTGTTGTGTTGTGTTGTGCTGTGCTGCGTTGTGTTGTGTTGTGTGTGTGTGTTGTGTGTGTGTGTGTGTGCGTGGTGTGCGTGTGTGGTGTGTGTGTGTTGGCGTGTGGTTGTGTGTGAGTGTGTGTGTGTGTGTTTTGTGTGTGTGTGTATGTGTGTGTATGTGTGTGTGTGTCTTTGTTTGTTTGTTTGCTTGCTTGTTTGCTTGTTTGCTTGTTTGTTTGTTTGTTTGTTGTTTGTTTGTTTGTGTCTTTGTTTGTGTCTTTGTGTCTTTGTTTGTAACAAGCACGTGCGCGCGACGCAGCGCGCGGCACACACGCACAAATCAGACACAAAACACACAGAAAAACAAACGAGTAAACAAACAAACAGACAAACAAACAAACAAACAATCTGCTTGCAGGGGTTGAGAGCCAGAACGCAGTGAAACAGGTGGCCCTCGCTCGGTTACGTACTGATGGTGGAGGAAATCCCTTCGCACCACTTTGAAACCATGGTAAACCACTGTTTGTTGGTATTTAATGCGAAACATCATTCTGGGGTTTCTCAGGTGGTGCAGGGTTTGGTCCATGCACAGTACGTTTAGCTTGTTGCCCGGAATTGCCCTGCTTCACTTTCTACCTTTGCTTTGTTTGGCTTGCCCATGCAACACGCCTGTTCCACAGGTACACCAACTTCTTGCCGATGATGGAACATTCTACCTTCAGGCGCGGCCGGTTGCCGTCACCGCTGTTCAGACTGTTCAGACTGGGGGGTGGAAATTGCCTTTCTTGCGGTTTCGGGCTTGTCTTTTTCAGCCGCTGGGTTGTTCCCATTGTTTTTCTTCAAACGACCGAAAAACAGGTGCTCCAAAAAAAGGAACAACACACCAGTCTCCCCAAGATAAGGGGCAGCTGGATCGATTGGGGGCCCTTGAGCATGTCCAATGATGTGAATGTGGTGCTGGTTCAAACCAACAAGCACCCAACGGAGCAAATAATGGAACGACAGCTCACACTAGTGGGCATAGGTGCCCTTTTTAGGTTATTTTGGCTAGAAATATGTTCGTTCCATTTCCCAGGGCGTTCTATTTTCCCAAAAGGACACCTATGCTATGCAGTGGGATGCTCACGCTAGTGGGATGGCATTGTAGGATTCTGGAGCCTACTGCACGCACCAAGTACCTCGCTGAATCTTTGTTAATGTTGAAACGCATGTGGAAACATGAACTGTGTTTGAAATGCTTGACCATAATGGCCCCGGCCATTTTGGCTCAAGCCTTGCTATTGGGTTCTCTGAACCCAACTTTGTGGAAAAACTTGAAAGGTAGCACTTCCGAAACAACCCCTAACCAGCAATGGCCTCCTCAGCAACTTCGGCAACGTCCTTTGAGTTGATTGAGGACCAGGCACTCACCGCGGAGGAGGTGGAAATGGCCAGCCAGGAGGCCCAGGAAGCCCGCACACGCGAGGCGGCTGTGGCGGCCGGCCTGGTGTTGGATGAGCCCGAGGCGCCCCCGTCGGCATCGGCCACCGATGTGATGAACGACCTCTCCAGTGCACTGGAGCGACTCCGCGTGGCCTTCTCGGCCTGGGTGCCCCTGGCCCCGCCGAGGACGAGGACAAGGAGATGAGCGATGCGGTCACCACGGAGCGGGCTACTCCACCAACGAAGAGGCTGAAGGGCTTCGTGGCGGCCTCCCAGAAGACCACGACCCCGGTGAACAAACCGGTCTCCCTGGTGCCGGTGGATGGCCGTCCTGGCTATTTCAAGCTAGTGGGCCAGTGCTGGGATCTTCAAAGCCGTCCCTCATCCTGCTGTACGCTGGGAAGGATGATGCGGGGTCCCTGGATGCCTACCTCCATGCCTACAACCCGGCCTTCTCTTGGTGGGAGGTGGCCCCAACTGCAGGACGTGGAGCATCCTCAGCTGGTTCCCCAAACCGGGTGGCCCGCCGCCGGTGAGGGGCAGAGCGGAGCAGACCTTGTGGGGCTTGGAGGACTTGGAGCCCCGGGTTATGGAGGACACGGACAATGACAGCGTGCTCATGCTCCGTCAGATGTACCTGACCTCGCTGGCCTACAAGGGGTTAGGTCAGCTGACGGTCCCGCAGGTTGGCTCCTCTTTCCTGGAACACCCGATGGACCCGATGGAGTGCAGCAAGAGCCCGAGCGCAGCGAGGTGCTCATCGATCTGGGTCACGCGGGCCTACATTCAATGGGCGAGTGCACTCCACCACTCCCTCATCAAGTTCGATGAGTGCCGCCTGGGCCAGGTGGTTGTGAAGTCCACGGCATTCTCAACGGACCTTCCTCTCCACCATTGGCATGACCTGCGTTGCAACCACGGGTCGCACCCCAGGGGAGAAAAGCTCAACTCCAGTGACCTCAGCCGGTACCCGGAGCAGATGATGCAGGGTCTAGCAGCGGCCATCCTTTGCCGAGCGGGACCCGTCCTGGAGGCGCTGAGGCCGGGAGGCATGGCGCCCCAGGCTAACCCAACGACCCCCCCGAGGCGTCCAAGGGAACCTTCTCCCAGCACGCCGGGGGACAACAAGCGCCAGTCCCGGAGGCTGAAGGCGGGCCAACAAGCGTTGGCAGGTCTGACCTTGGGCTCACTTCCGGTCTCGGCCTCGGACACTCCAGAGGCTGGGACATCGACACAGAGGACTGGCAAGGTGGAGGAACTTGGGGGGGGAACTCTTCCCCTGGACCCATGGGCTCACCAGGGCATGGAAATTTCGGATCGGCCTACCATCCTGCCGATCACTCACGACCCCAATATCTCCAACAAGGTCATGTACCTCCAGATGGCGTTCAAGCAGCGTCCCTTAAGAGACGGTGGAGGAAAGCCCTCCTTGGGACGGTTGGCCCCGTGGGCCCGGCCGCTGTCCAAAGCAGCAGCGCTGGAGGCCAAGATCTGTGTCCTCACTTCGCCGTGGGGGGACAAGCTCCAGGAGTCGCTCTCGTTGGGGGATGGGTCACATCCCTTCCCGGAGGACCTGCTGGAGGACATCAGGGAGATTCTGGCGCCCAGCGGACGGCCAACCCTTCTTCCTGGACATCTTGCACAGCTCTGAACATTCAGGACCCCGACCACCAGTTTCCCCGGGACCTGGAGCAAGGGGTTCCACTGGGGGTCACGGACCCACCCCGGGCATCTGGCCACTCAAGAAGGAGCTGAAAGGGGAGGAGCCGGAGTTCCAGGCCACCCAACGGGCAGGGGTAACTACCCCTCGGCGGATCACTTCAGCGAGCTCATCCGGGGCACATTTCTGGAGGAGGTTCCCATGGGCATGGTGGAGGGCCCCTTCAGTAAGGAAGAGGCAGCATCGCGATGTGGCTGCGGAGGCGAGGACCTTTGTCCCGGCCCCCTGGCGGGCATCGACGAGGGGGACAAGATCCGCACGATCTACGATGGCTCGGTGGGAGGGGCCAATGACACCATCAGGAACCAGACGGTGGAAAGGACGACGGCTCCGACGGTGCTGGATGGGGTCCAAGCTCTCCATTGGCTACATGCGGCAGCTAAGGAGGGACCCCCCTCTCAGGGTGCCTCTGGCTTTGAGGGGGGGATCGTCAAACCTCCACCTGGGGGCTGGCTATGGCCGGAGCCGGGCACCAGGTGGGTGCTGCTCAAGGCGGACGTCACCAAGGCCCACCGGAGAGTGAAGGTTCTCAGGAAGGACTGGCGGTTCCAGGTGGCCTCACTGGGGGAAGAATGGTGGGTGAACAAGGTAGGCACATATGGCATGGCCAGTGCCCAATCCTACTGGGGACGCCTGGCAGCCCTTCTGCTCAGGGTCCTCTACGCGCTTTTCCCCCAAGTGGATTGGAACTTCGTCTTCGTTGACGACTTCCTGTGGCTGCTTCGAAGCGAGGGGGCAGTGAACTTGGCGGTGGCGCTGCTGGCCACACTCCTGGCATTGGGCACCCCACTTAGCTGGAAGAAGACGCACTTGGCGGAGGTTAACACGTGGCTGGGCTTCGTGGTCCACCCGAACATCCCGCAGGTTCTCATGGCAGCCAACAAACACATCCTGGTTATGGAGGTGTTGCAGACCATGGTGGAAGGGCAGGCAATGCCCTCAAAGGACATCGAGAAGGCCCTGGGCCGCATCCAATGGGCAACGGCCGCATGTCCGCTAACAAAGTCGATGCTCCAGCCACTTTGGGCCTGGAAGATGGCCACCACCACGGTGGGGAAACCCCCTAAGGTGGTCAGGATGCTGGCGTTCGCTGCGGTTCCTCTTCAACACGCCTTTCGTCCAGTACTCCCCCTACTTGCCGAAGTCCTCTTGGTGGGGTTGCAGCGACGCTAGCGCCTCGGACGACGGACTGGCATTTGTGGGAGGTTGGTGCTCCAACACGGTGGAACCGGACAAGAAGGAGGTGTACTGGTTCCATGAGCAGATCCCCGTGGAGGAGTACCCTTCAACTTTCAAGAATGGGGATCCCAACCGGAGGATTGCGGCTCTGGAGATGCTGGGCACGCTCTTCCTCTGTAACATGATCCTCACGCACCAAGGCCCTCTGTCCTCCCGGGTCCGACTCCCGGTGGGCAGTGACAATCAGGGCAACGTCATGGCGATGCTCAACCTTGGATCCAAGAAGCCCTACACGGCGGCGATCCTGATGGAGCTGGTCTTCCTGCTCCACACCCATGGCTGCTCGCTGGCGGCCAACCATGTGCCCCGTGAATTCAATCAATGGGCTGATGAGCTGACGCACCCGGATTTCTCTGGGTTCGACCCTTTGCAAAGGGTCCCCAAGCAGGAACTCTGTGAGGAGTTTGTTTTTCTCCCGCGTCTCCTGAATGGAGATGCATTTGATCTCAGCGTGGGCCCACCCATGCTCCCGTGACCGGAGCCGGTGGGTGACTCACTTCCCCTGGTGGCAGACCCCCCTGTGGCCTGGGTGCCACGGGCCCCGGCTCAGGGGCGGGCGCTATCAGTCTGCACACCCGTTCTTCAGTTTTTGAGAATTGTGAGTTGGGTGGCCCATGAGGCCCACCCAGCGTTAGTCATCTGACAGGGGAAGATGAGTCCCTGGCACCAACACACTGCTCGGATGAAAGAGTTATCGCGTGCTCGTGTGTGGTGCCGTTTGGTTAGCTTGCATACACCATCAATTGTCCGGGAAGACATATCAGGTGATACCCGTTTAAAAAACATCTTTTCAGGCTGAATTGTACACTTTGCGGATGGCCGGCCCAAGCTTTTCCATAAGCAAACAGGGTAGCCTCATTCCAAGGAGATTCTACAGGACATCAACGTGTTTTTGGGCATTTGGATCCAATGTCCCGATTTGAAGCGATTTGGCGATTTCTTGGCGATGTCTTTGGCTCGGCGTCTGGCGAGACCGGCCTCGGCTCGGCTTCCAGGTCGCGGGTCTTCCTCGCGGCTACGCAACAGGCGTGCCGTCACGTCCAGCGTGCCTCGGGTCTCCTTTTGGTTTCCTGCCGCGGGCCTAAAAGTCGAAAAAGAGACACGCACAGCCTGCGCGAAAGCCCGAACTTCCAGTTGAGTGTTCGGGTTAGGAGGAGATCCAACTTGAGAACTCTCCCTGTGATACACCCTGGCTTGCACGTGTCGTGCTGCGTGGGGAGGTTTGTCCCTGTGCCAATTGAACTCGCGGCCTTTTTTGGAGTGCGCACATCAATATTGAAGTATATTGGAATGTTCAGTTCAGACGTGATATGCACAGTTTCAATTCGAAGAGTCCCGATTTCAGTAGCCCAACAAAGTAATTAGCAGGAGCTCAGGGAAAATGCGTTCATTCATGGGATGTGTTCATCAGCGGAGGAAGTTGTTCCAGATTATAAGGTGGGGCTTGATTTGTTTGTGGTGTCCCTGAGCTAGGACGCATGAGGCATTTGTTCGGCTTGGTCTCAACACCGATGCAGAATCATGAGCAATTGCCATTTTTTGCTCATCTGAAGCGAATGCATTGCGCCCCTCGGCCTGAAGCAGGATGATCCCTCGCCGCAACTCAGAATCCGAGGCGCTGCGTGCAATTTGACACCAGGTTTCATGGGCGTGGCCTAGCCGTCCGCCGGTTGGCTCTGCGTGTTAAAAGCCTGTGGGACGTTGTGTTTGCATATTAGAACAGGTGTGTGTGTGTGGTTTTTCTTTTCTTTTTCTCGAAATGGTTGGATTCCTGGGGCTTGGAGAGGATAGTGGGGTCGTGCGGATATCCGCCCGTTTGATTCACATGGAAGGCACCTGGAAAGCATTGGAAAGCAGAACCATGTGTGTGTGTGTGTGTGTGTGTGTGTGTGTGTGTGTGTGTGTGTGTGTGTGTGTGTGTGTGTGTGTGTGTGTGTGTGTGTGTGTGTGTGTGTGTGTGTGTGTGTGTGTGTGTGTGTGTGTGTGTGTGTGTGTTTGTTTGCGTGCATTTGCCAATGCAAAGGTCGTCCATGGAAGAGTTTTGGTATGCGTTGTAATTTGAACACGTTCTATTTATTTAAATATGAATGTGTACTTGTATGATATCAAGTGGGCTGGCAAACTCACGTTTTCAAAGCCGACCTTTTAACCTGTTGGTTTCCCGGATTTGGTCCATTCGTCATGCAACCTGAAGGTTCATCACCTTTTGTTTCTGATTCCCCAAGAGGAGCTACTGCACGTACCCCATTTTTAGCGCCCCTGAAAAGTGTTTGGTTGTTTTTGTTGCACCCCATGTTTAGAGGAGCCCGCGCATGTTTCTTTCTCGCAGAATATGATTGCGCAAAGGGACCCTTTGCCAGGCTACAATCACTACGAGGACCTGGCGGGCACCTCAGAATCGCGGGCCGGGAGACGCGAGTCGCGAGGCTTGGGGTGACCCGTGTGTTTTGCACATGGCTCGTCTTTATGGAGCCCCCGAAATGGCTGCAGGTTTCCCTTTTGGTTTCCCCTGGCCAACTCAAAACGGGGTGCGGCTCAAACAAAGACACACAAGATCAAGGGAACTGTTAGGTGGGTTGCTTGGGGTGGAGAGATTTTTATCATAGGGGCACATACCGTCCTTATCTATAAGTGGTGTGTGTTTGCGATGTCTCCAAGCAACCCTGAACATGCCCTGCGCGTGAGGTTCGCTCAAGATTTCTAGCTGCCTATTGCAAATTCGTCGTTTCGGACATGGGGTACTCACTAAATTCAACCAGGACAACCAAGGCTATGGGACTGCATATTTGGACCGTGGCTCATGTGAGGTTTGCCCTGTGGTATCCAAACATGAATGCGGGCAGAGGCCTTGACGGAGAAAAAATGAGGTTTGTCTCGCGTGCTTCTTGTCAAACAGCCCCAAGGCGAACTCCAAAAAAATCACCAGGTCAGACTTCAAGATGCTTTGGTTTTTGGTTGGCGGTTTGAGGAGGCGACATAGGCCCCAATTTTGAACCGATTTGCTAGGGCATAGGAACCCCACTAGGTGGGGCCCTTGGGTTCCGTAAGTGCAGAGCGCATGTTTTGTCTCCGCCCTTTCACAGGATCGGTGTCACTTGCACCACACAGGATGCACCCAGTGCAACACCTTGAGCTGATTTCTCCGAGACTGTGGCTAGGGAGCCGCACATTTCCCGCTTTGGGTGGTTCCATCACCTTTTTAGGCCCAGTGTGGAGTTTCTCTTTCCGGCCAGGGAGTTTCAGAAAGATGTGAAATGGGTACCAGTCAAAAACAGGGACGTTTGTGGTCCTCAAGTGGCCATGAACGCACTATTCAGGGTTTCCCAGATGGGTGTGTCTTTCCCAGGTACCCCTTTTTTGTGTTTTTTAAACGTGATCCGGTACCACCCTTATGTTCTTGGTTGGTTTCAATGTTCCCTTTGAGCATTGGCCAACCAAGCCCCCAAGTCTTGCTTGCACACAACTGGAAGAAAAGTCGTCCAAAGCTTAAAAGTAGCCATTTGCTTTCCCTTCGGGGTTGATGTTCTGACCCTCAAACCTGATGTCCAATTTGTTGATTGATCCCTGTTCATTTCACAGAGAAGTCCGAACCGGTAGATACATGGGTTTGGTTTCTTTGATGGCACCTTTGGTTGCAGTGAGAAAGGGACAAGCGAAGCCAATGGCCCCGCATTTGGAAACAACGCCATTGTCCAGTCTCTTGAGCGTGCATCGAATTTATTTGGGCGCTCTTAGAGCACTTCAACGTATGGAGAGGTTGCTGTTGAGCACGCTGAATCGGCAATTGGAACTTGAGATGAGCCGTACAACCAAACACCTCGGGTCAAGTCTCCTTCATCCCCTTCCAGGTTTGAACTTCAGCAAGAGGCCATGGGGGTGTGGGCAAATCATAGAACCTCACAAGCGCGGGGGTTGCGATGATGAGGGTTCCTTTTTAGAGAGCCTGATTTGGGGTCAATTTGCTTAACCATTCTGATTCACCTATGACATGTGAATCCACAGTATGAACCCCCAGCGTTTTGGCCACTGAACTATTCAGCGTGGCTTGATGGTAGGATTACCAGCCAAGGTGGAAGCCCATTGGTTCATATTTAGGTCCAGAGAATCAGCCATTGAAAAGCAAAAGGGTTGAACCATGTCAGCATTTTTACGATGATGGTGAACCCACCGATAGATTCAGAGGAAATGTATGGACTTGGTGAACTAGGTCCAAGCACGTTAACGTGG